ATGTCTAAAGCCAATTATGATAAGACGATGTCTTTGTTTATTGTGAAAGGCCTTGCTCTGGATTCTTTTGCAGTTGTATACTTACGGTTTACAACATATTTATTACTGCCACACCATGCTTGAAGCAAACCCTTTACACTTTTTTCATCAATAGTAGCCACTACATCACAGTGGGCGAGGAAATATATTGATAACATCAAGAAGCAAATCACAGTCGACACTAATTCTACATGGCTGTGGTTTACAATTAGCACTACCAGTACTAGATGTAACAGTGCTTTCTTCTGTCTGTAAAAACTGTGTCTTACATTGCCGCAGTTTCTTAGTAAATGTGCATATTACATCTGCACCAGTGCTTGCCAGAATAGTGCTAGATTGAGTAGAGGTAGCTGCAATCAGTTGCATTCCGACGTGCTCTAGCTTTAGTAAATTAGTTAGATGTGTGTATCTATTTTTAGCGAGTGTTTTGTTCTACCCATTATTGAAAGAGAAACAAATTAAATCGTCTCTCTGCTTATGATAATTCACACAAACTAGTCTAAACTGTTAATAGTATATTTAATTGAAATAATTATATGTTAAAATAATGTAAGTATTTCACAGAAGCTTAGAGAAACAAAACTAGATCAAACTTAGCAACGCGTTGAAACTAGGGAAATGTTTACTTCCGAAGCGAAACGACCAATCGCTAACTAGCTTCCGCAGTTGTATGCCAATGAAAAAATTGAGGTCAAAAATTTGCATACCGGAAAAACCCGACTGAGTAAAATAAACAACTTTAGACGTAGAAAAATAATCACATTAAAATAGGTATTTTGATTGGTCATTTAATTTTAGAGCAAATAAAGAAAGGAGGTCACGGCCTTTCCATTGATATGAAACACATTAGGTTTCCGCGAAGCCTAATAGTACTTTTCTAGGTCGAAAAATTGCTATTTTTACCAAAAAATTAAACAAAAGACCCTGTACACACTACATTGAACCCGGTTTTTTCATAAATAAATACTGTTTTTAGGGTAATAACAATGTCATTTTTAGATTCAACGATGGTTATTCTGTATAGATCAAGTAAAAGTGGGAAATCGATGATTTAGTGGATTTATGACGAAAAGTACACCCGCCCATGTCCTTAAGATGGCTGCTGTTTTTAATAGCAAATTTACTATCTCCAACACTAACAGGGTTGATAAAAATTAATTTCGGGATAGGGCCTATTTAAATTGATTTAACCATAAATGGTGATTCAATTATCTATAGTATTTTATTAAAATATACAAAAATAAACTCATATTTAAAGACGTATTCATTAATTCACTCTCCCCCACATTACTAGTTTTGGCCGAATGGACACCAGTGAGTTGACGAAAATCCTTCCGCAATGTTGTTGACATGGAATAAAAATGTGCTTTTTTATATTTAGGACCATAAAAATAATAAAAGATAAAATTTTATTAAAAACTTAAGCCTAAAATTAATTCAGAAATTTAATATTTTTAGAATCACTGCTATACAAATTGCAGATCCAGAGAACTTGAAAATAATTAGTTGAGTTTAAGGCTACATTTCTATTTATTTTCACAAGCCCAAGTTATAACCCGATGTTTCACTTTCGTAAGACAAACATTGATTGGCTGTACAGGAACTCAGTGATCGATTTATCCCCACTTTATAGTTTTTTTTGTTTACAAAACTTTGCAGATCAAGTTTTTAAATAACAATGCAAATTTAAGGGTGTTGGGAAATTGTGAGACGCGAAAAACGAAATGGCCAGGCCTGGAAAATGCGAGAAGATAATGCGAGACATACCTGCGGAATTAAGCGAGACACCTTTTGTGGGAAAAAAGTTTTTTTCATGCTTTTTTCATCTTTATTTATTTAAATTATTTTTTTGTTTGTTTTAAAATAAAAACAAGCATGTAGCCATACCCTTTAACACGAGTGTTGTATGTTGTTATTTTTTATCTAGATTTTATTATATATATAGATAGATACTAAGAAGATAGATAGATCTAGATCTATCTATTAAAAAATCCTAACATCGTTGCTTTGCTAATGTCATCACCCGCTCTCGTTTTAAAAGTCTAGTCCGCTCATGTTTATACAAACGTGAGCTGTGTCATTGTGAATTGGTGAATTGGTATAATCTTGTCAGCAGGAGAGATATTCTGCAACATGTATTCATGGATTGTTGTACTTGCAAAAAGTGTAAGTATTCATGGATTGTTGTACTTGCAAAAAGTGTAAAAGTATAAACAATTCTAAAAAGTGTAATTTATTTTTTATTGAGTAATTTTAATTACAAACAAAATTTACAAACAAAATCTTCTGAAACAGTCTTAGCACTACTCAAACACACCTCGTCACACTATCTTTCACACATAGTACATCCAACCCAGTTCATTAGACTCCCATTTATACTGTGCTAATACAGAACAGGGATATGAACAGAATGAAAAAAAAAATGTGCGTCTTTAGATAATCTGAATAAAGACCGCTATCTACCATTTAATAGCTAAAAGGGGTAATCCATAAATGACGTCACGTTTTTATAAATGATTTTTACCCCCCCCCCCCGTCACACATTTTCACAAAAATCCAGACAACCCACCCACTAAAATGACGTCACACCTCAACCTACAACCCCCCCCCCCCCTCAAAATTGCAGTTGAATTTTTTTTTTAAAACATCGATATTTTCCCAACATCTTGTCTAATTTCTGTCAAAATAGAGTCTTTTAATCAATTCCTTTTACAATTTATTAAAACAGTTTTCTAAAACTAATGCCTAAAATTCTTTTTCTAACATTGCTTTTTTATAGTGACTTTTTTTATGTCACAACATCTAACCCCCCCCCCCCCCCCCCCCCATCACACATTTCTATCAGGCAGCGGATACGGGCACGGTGATCTTCAAAGACGGTAAATCAGGCGGCCTCGGCGATCCACACAAAAGAAAGAAGTTGATCTATCGTCGGCGGTATTTCTGGCGGTTTCGAACAAGGTGGTATTCTAAGTCGACACATAAGATGGGGGGGGGGGGGGGGGGGGGGGGGGGAAAGAGTTCACAAATCACCAGTATGTCTATCGACAGAAAAATCTGAAGTTTTAACAATGTAAACGAAATGTCTTTGAACTCTGCACCAAACACCACTGTAAATCGGGTGCGGTAAATTTTTCGCAGAAATCTTCGCATTTTAACATCACCCAGCGTAAGTATCGGGTTGTGGTAATATGCAAGACAATAAGTCACGTGACTGACCGTTTTCGTGCCCTTCTCGCATTTTCCTGCCTCACCATTTCGCTTTTCGCAATTTCCCAACACCCCAAATTTAAACCCCATGACCTAGTTTTTCTTTTTTTAGCTTACAGTGTGTACAATAAAATTTATGGCGGCCTACCGAATAGCAGGATGCCATTGTTTATGTCGCCATTACATGTGAAAACCAAATTGTTTTTGCTTTTTTCTTAATTTTTAATAAAAAATTTTTATTTAGATCTAGTTACCGAAAATATTAAAAAACATCAAATAGGCCTAGATCTACATCCAAATCCAGTCTTTAGTTAAGTCCGAAAAAAACCAGACAGGCAGGATTTTATAACCATATTAATTGTAACTAGAATCTACGCCGTGCATGATTTTAAAATTAATTTATGGACCTCTCAAATACCTATGAGACTTTTCTCGCTGGCGTCCATTTACGACGCTAAACCAAGGCAAGGTTTTATTGAATCTAATCTAGATCTAGAATCTAGATCTAGATTCGGTAATCTATCGTTTTGGGTACGTAAAATCGCTCGCGGCTATTAATGTACGAAAACGTTACCTCATTGTCAAGGCTGTAATAGAAGTATATTGTGATATGTTTGTGTCAAACATTATAGATAAATGAATAATAAACCTAAATCAATGGCTAAATATATCAATATAGGCCAGAAATTAACTTTAAACAGCAGTGTCTGCAAGCAAGATTTGCTATATAAACAGCAGCCATTTGTAAAATAGAGTGACTTCCGCCTGAATCTCACGCTATAAGTCTATAAAAATAAAACTTTAACAAGATGGCTGCTATAGTAAATGAGCATGGTTGCATCTGTTGGAAACATCGCTGGTGTTCATTTATTTAATTTATTAGCCTACTGAAAAGTTTTAATTCAATTGTTTAAAAACAGGTACATAAATGAAACGAGGAAACATTTTTGGTAATCTATCGTTTTGGGTACGTAAAATCGCCCGCGGTTATTAATGTACGAAAACGTTACCTCATTGTCAAGGCTGTAATAGAAGTATATTGTGATATGTTTGTGTCAAATATTATAGATAAATGAATAATAAACCTAAATCAATGGCTAAATATATCAATATAGGCCACAAATTAACTTTAAACAGCAGTGTCTGCTAGCAAGATTTGCTATATAAACAGCAGCCATTTGTAAAATAGAGTGACTTCCGCCTGAATCTTGCGCTGTAAGTCTATAAAAATAAAACTTTAACAAGATGGCTGCTATAGTAAATGAGCATGGTTGCATCTGTTGGAAACATCGCTGGTGTTCATTTATTACTGAAAAGTTTTAATTCGATTGTTTAAAAACAGGTACATAGGCCTAAATGAAACAAGTTATTTACAAGGAAACATTTTTGTATTTTTCAAAACATAAATCCTCCTTAAAATGTGAAATAATTATTAAAATGTAGATCTAAGGAGTCACCTGTTTTTCACATTACTAGTCTCGGGCGATTTTACGTAGAAATCTAGATTTCTAGATCTAGATTTCTACCTAAAACGATAGATCACCAGATTCTAGATCTAGATTTCTAGATCTAGATCTAGATTCTAGATCTAGAAATCTAGATCTAGATCTAGATCTAGATTCTCTAAAAAAAAACATGAATCTAGCTTCCGAGGATTTAATTTAACATATTACAAAGCCTACCCAAAACGATAGATTTCCCAAGTTTACAAAATTACAGTACACTCTAGATCTAGGAATGAAACAGTTTACCGAAATGTTTCGCAGAACTTCCCTCATACACTGATGACAGAAAAATATACTATCACTGTTTGTCCTCTCCACTGCAGCTTCCGCCATTTTGTTTTCTGTAAGCCAATTTAAAGGATGTTGACGTCACAACAAGATAGTGGTTTGATTCCTATCGAAAGAATACGTTCTCGATTGGAAATAAAACTAGATCTAGATTCCACATCTATCTATCTAATATATCTATCTATCTATCTATCTATCTATCTATCTATCTATCTATCTATCTATCTATCTATCTATCTATCTATCTATCTATCTATCTATCCTATCCTATCCTATCTATCTATCTATCTATCTATCTATCTATCTATCTATCTATCTATCTATCTATCTATCTATCTATCTATCTATCTATCTATCTATCTATCTATCTATCTATCTATCTATCTATCTATCTATCTATCTATCTATCTATCTATCTATCTATCTATCTATTATTATGTATATATATATATATATATATATATATATATACAGAGCCGGCGTTAGGAATACGCGGGGCCTAGGGCCAACCATCCGCGCGGGGCCTTTCCATTTTTTATATATATATATATATATATATATATATATATATATATATATATATATATATATGTGTGTATAAAGGCCTATATAATGTGATGTACACTTAACAACACAAATGTTTTTCTATTTTATAAGCTAATGTCAAACTTTCCACTATAATAACAGATTTTATCTCTCCCATGTATTAACCCAATGTTCGTAGTTTTTTTCCTTTGCTAAGATATTAAATCACTTTTGACAGTTATGTAATTCATACCAAATCACTTAAGAATATTTAATCACGTGCCGAAAAATTTGGAAAATATAGTTTACGATAAAGCGAACTCGGCCTGATGTATCAAAACAGTAGGCCTATAGACTTCAAAATTTGTTTAGAATTCATACAATATTTTAAAACCAAAATCATTATTGTCTTAATTATTGAACGGGTGAATCTTTAAGGTGACACAACATAACAACAGTTTTAACTTTCTTCCAAAAAATAATAATAAATCTATCTGTTTAATGCCGCCTGATATAGATCCTAAGGCCCCCCCCCCCTCGTTGCCCTCCTCCCACCCCTCTGCATGCAACTGAATGTTAATTTTGTTATACCAAGACAAGTAGGCCTACATATAGAGTTTCTTCCAGGCATCTCTTCGGGGGGGGGGGGGGGGGCAAGCCCCCCCCCCCCCCGAAAACGAAATGTAATTTATATAATTCATATAGAAAATATATACTTTTAACAGTGTCCGCCCCCCCCCCCCCGAAGAAAGTCTACCGCCCCCCCCCCCCCGAAAATTTCAAGTGCCCCTCCCCCCCCCCCCCCGGAGAAAAATGTCTGGAAGAAACACTGTACATATACGACATTATACGACATCTACAACAAGAAAGTCAGGACTAGAGTTCATCGGGTCACCAACTGTCTACTACAGACATCCCGTCTGCTCACTAAAAGGACGTCTTCATGGGTTCGCATACAATAGGGTATCTCTTTACGTCGTGGGCTAATTCTCGACCGCCATCTCCAGTCAGCTCAGGTCAAATGCCAGGCGACCGTACCCTACGCAAAGGGGAGGTGTGACACTGTTTTTGTATCGAATTACGGCCTGTCCCAGTTCAGGTGGGACTCACCAACATCAACCGTGGCCTCAGTTATAACAATCAACAACGTCGGCATTCGACCATTTAGTCTTTCCCAATTGAATTCAGCAACAATTTTTTTTAAGTTTACGAACTAATTCAGATAACAATGACATTGCTGAAGCGCGGGGCCCCTTCAAGCGCGGGGCCTATGGCGACCGCCCCGTTCGCCACCCCCCTAACGCCGGCTCTGTATATATATATATAAAGCAATGTGTGTGTGTGTGTGTCTGTCTGTCTGTGTGTCTTTTATGCATTACCACACCTCTAATCACATCGCCGTGAAACTTTGGGAAGTTGTTGAGAATATTCCTGGGGAGGTTTCTGCGAAAAAAAAATTTCAAATTCGCAGGGGTGGCGCCCCGGCAGGGTGCGATTTGTTTTTTCTCTATATACGGTATATAAAAAAATAAAAGTCAATTTTGGTTATGCATCTTTCAGCCGATAGCCATGAGTCTTTGTGGAGTTCATTACACCACTCTAGGGAAGGATTCCGTAAAAAAAAATATTGTTAATTTCGCAAGGGCGGCGCTACGGGAGGGTCCTATTTTTCTCTATATACTGTATATAAAAAATAAAATTCAATTTTGGTTTGACATCGTTCATCCGATAGCCATGAGACTTTGGGGAGTTAATTATACCACTCTAGGGAAGGGTTCTGTAAACAAATAATCTTTAATTTCGCAAGGGCGGCGCCACGGGAGGTTCCGATTTTTATCTATATACGGTATATAAAAATAATAAAAGTGAATTGCAGTGACACTGTTCATCCGATAGGCATGGAACTTTGGGGAGTTCATTATGAAACTCTAGGGAAGGGTTCTGTAAAAAATCATTTTTAATTACGCAAGGGCGGCGCCACGGGAGGGTGCGATTTTTCTCTATATACGGTATATAAAAACAAAAGTCGATTGCGATTTCACGGCGTTCATCCGATAGCCATCAAACTTTTGGGAGCTGATTAGAACACTCCTGGGAAGGTTTCTGTAAAAAAACTCATTTTTTAATTTCGCAAGGGCGGCGCCACGGGAGGGTGCGATTTTTCACTATATACGGTTTATAAAAATTTAAGTCTATTTCGGTTTCACACCGTTCATCCGTGTACCATGAAACTTTGGGGAGATGATTAGATCACTCAATGGTAGGGTTCTGCAAAAAAAATAATAATAATAATAATAATATTGCAAGGGCGGCGCCCCAGGGGAGAGCGATTTTTTCTCTATACACGGTATATAAAAAATAAAACTCGGATGCGGTTCATCCGAGTGCCATGAAACTTTAGGGAGTAGATGAGAATACCCCCGAGAATATTTCTGCGAAAAAGAAAACTAAGTTTCTTACGGGCGGCACCTTATAGGGTACAACTTTCGTCAATACATGGTTTGGCGCCCAGAGTTTTAGAGCGACTATGTTGGCACTTGGCATCCGTTAATCGGGCGTCCTGCATAGCGAGTAAGGGGTACTACTATATTCAGCGGTAAAGCTACAACAGTCTTCGAAAAATAACTTTGTAACACGAGGAAATCCTTCTGTACAGTTTCGTCACCTTGCGAAAGATGAAAAAATAACTTTTTGAATATGATGAGCCTACTGTAGAGTTTCGTCACTTTGCGAATGATGCAATAAGCATCTATTATAAGCCGATCCAGTCAGAAATTGAGATCGAGCATCTAATAATAGACCATTAGTATACCATAACTACCCGTTCCTATGGCAAAACTTCACTCTCTTTCATCCGCGTCATCTAACATGCATTCGTCATATCTCTCATATCTCTCGCAACAACATTCATTCGCACCAAAATAACAATTATGTATTTAATATTATTTCACATCATGACGCACTTACCTACCTACCTACTACCTACCTACCTACCCACCTACACACTTACCCCAGTAGCGTAGCGAGGGGGGGGGGGCGGGGGGGGACATATGTCCCCGGGCGCCGAGGTTAGGGGGCGCCAAAATGGGTTGGAAAAATAAATTGAAAGGTTGAGGGGGGTGCAAATTGAAAGTTTGAGGGGGGGGGGGTGCAAATCAAAATCTCGAGGGGGGTGCAAATCGAAAGATTCAGGGGGGGGGGTGCAAATCGAAAAGTTTGTCCCCGGATGCCGGGAAGGGTCGCTACGCCTCTGACTTACCCACCTACCCTCCTACACACCTACCTACCTACCTACCCACCTACCCACTTACCCACCTACCCACCTACCCACTTACCCACCTACCCACTTACCCACCTACCCACCTACCCGCCTACCCACTTACCCACCTACCCACCGAAAAAGGATCGGCGAAGTTCGTTAGTTTCGTAAACTGTACTTTTGTTTAATGAAAATTCATTGACATCATTGACATATGTTACATATATGTTATATTTTGCGACAATCTTAATTAGTGCGTTGGGCTTGTATGAAAACTCACTTCGAAGTAACTCAATTACAGGCTATTTATTTTAACATTACACGGTAAGCGTCACCCAACTGTTGTGATGTGAGGTGAGGACAGGTTCGACAATAAACCAACCCGAAAGTACGAAAGAGACATAGACTGCCTGTTAGAGAATGGACCCCCTAACTTTCCTAACCCCACCATTTATTATACCCTACCTAACCTCTAAATCTCTTGCGCTATATGTCACTTCCCTCCCAATCGTTCCTATTCTACAGAATTGTGTGTACTATATATTTACATTCTTTAATCTCAATATAACTAAAATAGACTATTGTTTGAAGGGTAATGAAAACATTTAAACATACACTTTTACTAGTGTCCGCCCCCCCCCCCCCGAAAAATGTTGACCGCCCCCCTCCCCCCGAGAAACAAAGAGAGATAAAGTTTTATAATAACAGCAGGCTTTGACTTACACCTACTCCAATATCATCTACATTGTTAAACTGATTAATTAATGCATGTTAGATGACGCGGATGAAAGAGAGTGAAGTTTTGCCATAGGAACGGGTAGTTATGGTATGCAAGCTAGGTAGTTCGGACTAGGGAGAATGTGAGAGATACTTCCGTGTGCGCTTTTTTCTGTTTGCGCTTTTTTCCGTGTGCGCTTTTTTCTGTTTGCGCTTTTTTCTGTGTGCGCTTTTTTCTTTTTGCGCTTTTTTCTCTTTGCGTTTTTTTCTCTTTGCGCTTTTTTCCGTGTGCGCTTTTTTCTCTTTGCGCTTTTTTCCGTGTGCGCTTATTTCCGTTGCGCTTTTTGTTTTGCGCTTATTTCCGTTGCGCTTTTTTCCGTTGCGCTTCTTTCTGGGAACCGTTCATCCGATAGGCATGAAACTTTGGGGAGTTCATTATAAAACTCTAGGGAAGGGTTCTGTAAAAAAATACTTTTAATTTCGCAAGGGCGGCGCCACGGGAGGCTGCGATTTTTCTCTATATACGGTTTATAAAAATAAAAGTCTATTTCGGTTTCACACCGTTCATCCGATAAGCATGAAACTTTGGGGAGTTGATACGAACACTCT